TTGTTGGGGTGTTCACACCATTAATTCTATACCCCACAGGTAGTGCCACTTACACGTTTAAAAGAATTCATGCACTTACAAAGAAAGTTTCATCAGGCCGACACAAGAACACACTTCTTCTAATCCTCATGGAAATGCGCATTAATTTTCATTACCCCAAGATAGAGATATCTACGGTTAAACTTCGTTCAAAAAAAAGTTACAACTTAACGAGGTCAAAGTTATCGATTAATCCTAAACAGTTTAGAATCGATCTTAGAAAATTGGGATCAAACCCAAGTTTTTTTTTTTAACTTGATCGTAAGACGGTATGATTGAGTCATAGTTTAACCTATTTGAATCATAACTTTATCTAATTTTATCATAATTTGTCATACCATAATCATTCCAACATGTCTTCATGATTTTCTTTTGTCTTTGTTTCTTTTTGGGTGTGCAAAGATATTTTCCTAAAAACAAAGATAATATCTCATGTATCACCTTATGGTGTCTTTTAGCAAAAATATCCTCCACCTATATGAGTGCTGCAACGATCCCCACAACCAGCTGCCCCACATGTGATTTTTAGTTTTGGAAGATTTATTTCATTGAACTTTTAATGTCACTATCTTTTATCTCGTATGACATAAAGAAGGTGGGTGATCATCCATTTATAAAGTGCACTAGAATGATCTATACCTAATAGGTTGCTTGATAAATTTGATGTTGATTACCCATTAAAGAATAAATGTTGTTAAGGGTTAGTAGTATTTTGGTCTCAAAGTTTTGTCAGTTTAATCTTTATTATATTAATTTTGTCAAATTAGTCTCTGAAATATTCAATCTGAGTCACTTTGGTCCCTAATCAGATAATTCGTTAAGTTTTTCAACAGAAATAACCACGTGTTTAGCATGAAGAAAATTGAGAGATTTCAGTACATGTAGAGGATTTCAATCCAGCTTATGTGGGACAGACCACATGAATTGTTGGTGTATAAGATCTAAATCACAAAACATGATGGACATAGATATTTTTCTTTACTTTTGCCTTCTATGGATCCATCTCTAATTTAATTGACAATACTGTTTTCAAAAATTTAAAATCTGTGACTGCAAATTAACTTACACTCATTTTATATCGAGCGACCAAAACTCGCATAACGACGAAACATAATTTACATAACCGATCTCAAAAAAGTTAGAACAATAATTTGTTGAGTTGTAGAGTTTGATAAAAAAACTTACGATATCTTATATGACTGAAATTGAAATCGTTAAACTTTACTTGCTACATCATACATTTAAAACATGGGATATATGATCTGAATTTCTGTTCATAAATATGACTTCTATCAATTCTACAATGTGAACACATGGCTCTGGTCTTTCATCCTGTAAAATCCTTTCTTTGAAATCTCAAGTGTACCTTGCAGAGTTTACCTTCTTTTTTTCCCCCAAAAAAATCTCTTGTCTGCTTCATGCAGGAATTTTAAGAATCTTCAACAAGGTCAACAGCAGCAATATGCCAAAAAGATAGAATGTTTGGAATCTTTGCCCTCATTTGTTTTGGTAGTGTTTACACTCAAAATAAGTAAAATCAAAGGGTGATACGTGAAAAAAATCTGACGGTCATAAAAGAGTTTATGAGAAATAGGATTCTTAAAATCCAGGGGAACGAAGAAACGTGGCATCATGAGCCGCTAATTAGAGACAGTTCAGTGCACGTTGTATTTTAATGGTAAAGACGATGATCATAGTAATGGCCAAAAATGATGGCTTCGATTGTTGGAGTTCATCCTATAAATAACAGAGGTCAGACCATTGAGAAAAGATCCACAATTAAACACACAAACTCTACATAGAGTCAACTTACCTAATACTTATTTCTTGCTCCCAAGCAATTTTACTTTCTTTGTAATCATCACTCCGGTGATCTTTTAATGCTTTCATTTAATGATAAGCACAATATTTGTTTCATCTTCTAGATTCAGATTCAATTTACTTGCTGTTTTCATTCTCGTTATTCTCTTGACAGCGTAGTCTATTATGCTTTTATTTGAAAAATTATTTAAAATCCTTGAACCATTAGGCATACAAAAAGAACTCAGATGTAGCCTTACTACAATCACCTAAACAGTCACGAATTTAGAATCTTGTGTCTGTTTGAGTAGTTAATATCGTATGTGTTTAGATTTTAAGTCCGTCCAAACATTGGCACACTCGCAATCCGAAAATACGCCAAACATGTAGGAATTAATCTTCCTAACCCAAGATCTGGTATTCAACATCCGAAAAATATAAAATAAATATGCAAAAGAATCACATACTCTTACGCATATTGATGTGGAAAAACCCTAAATCAGGAGAAAAAAAAAACCCACGAAATTACACATATTCACAGTTAGACGTCTTATTTATTTTTTTATGTCTTTTTTGTTTTTGTTTTTTTAAGATTTTCTTGATCAAAAAGGGTGACCCACACCCTTATATCAAGCATGCATGTGTATGGCATCACTTGGCACTAAGCCAACAACCCTTTCGGTCAGTTTCACAGTGCATGCCCTTATCTCAAGTGGGTCTCAATCATATTCATTGCCTAGTTAATGTTTTGTTAAGTCAAGAGAATCGACCAAACTCTCGTCCTCACTTGCAAACCCTTCGTTCATTTATTACCATTGATTTTTCTTTTGGTTCAACGGTCAGGAATATTCGAATTAATTTACACGAATCTCGACTAATTTTTCTTGATTCTGTTAAAGGCAGATCATATACGCAAGGTATTCATAAGGAATAATTCCTCATGGCCTAACTCTAAGAGATTATTAAGATTTGAATTCAGAACGTCTAAATTTATAACTCATTACTATTACTATTGATTTTTTTGTCAAAAGATTGTTAATGAAAGGATCACATACTAAACCCTACAAGAGAAGGCTAAACCTATACCAATTGCTCATGCCATGGACCACGACGTGAGCCTAACTAAGTGAGAATTGGGTTTTAATGAGATGCTCCTCTTTCCTTTTCTTTTTCCGAGGGGTTCACTAAATCGGACTATAAAATTTGGAGAAGGGAGACATTTACTTGAGATATGATTTGATTGTGTCAAAACTACCCGTGGAAGGGTAAGTTGTCATTGAACCAAAATCCCAAGTTTTTCTTAAAACTATTAAACTAATCGAATTATTTAAGTTTGGTTCGATTTTCTCTTGTTCATCTTGTTCAAGTTCGAGTCCTTTATTAATTAATTTCCGAAAACAAAAAGTTTGAATCATGTATAGTGCAACTAATAAATATTTGCTGTGAGGAGCAAATAACAAAACCTTTGATTTATTATCAAGAGATTGCGAGTTCATTAGTTTTTTTGTTTTTTTTTCGTAAGTTTACGAGCCAAAATTAGAATCCAGCCTCGCAGTACAAAAATGAGTTAAGTCGAGCAGAACATGAGCATATGATTTAGACACCAAATCAAAACTAAGATCGAACTAAAATTAAGCATGTGATATCCAACTCAAGAGCCATAACATACAAAAACGTAGGAAGGTTCTCTCTCTCTCTCTCTCTCTCTCTCTCTCTCTCTCTCTCTCTTTGTATGGCCTAATTAGAGTATCTTAATTAGTGAGGTTAGTGCTAGAAGGAGCCGTGGAAATGGTCAATATTTGCAGTTCATTCAATCACAAGAGCAGCTTGTGGAGCACTGTGGTCAACCACTAAGTAGAGCTTTAATGGTCCTACTGGATCTTAACTGCTATCTCACTGTTGCCTTTAGGGTGTGGTGCTAACCCCACTCACTTACCATTGCTACAGAAAGTCCATGCAAGGTTACAACATTACACTGAGTTGCCATTGTCCAAGTACATTCATCCTTAATATTGAGTTACCATTTTGAAGTTTGATTGGCCAAATAAAGATCCTCTCCGTTATACTTGTATTCAATTTTACTCGATAATAGATCTTTTACCAAAGATTTAAGTGTGTCTTTTTGTTTATAAGTGGATACTTCACACATGAGGTCGGTAATCTATAGTTGAGTAAAAATGTAATGTTAGTTCATTAGATTTAAACTAGGTGAGTACTTACAATAGACTTGTAGGACATTATGTCTATGTTGTGTCGTGATGAATATCATCCATTCCTAAGGGAAGATGGACGAGAATGATTACAAGATTGGAAGGGTTGAACTTAACACTGATAAAGTTTGAATATATGATCTTCTAATTAAGAGGGTGAGTGATTGATCGGTGATCTAGACAGTGACTATTATCTTCATGTTTTATATATATATTTTTTTTGCTAAAATAGTAAAATCGTGTTTCATACTCTTCCGAAAATATCTTATTTTGAAATGATTAAGTTTTCGACAAATAAATCTACCAGAGCAACAATTCCATGCATCTAAAGGTGTTTTTCCCCAAAATTAAGTAATTATCATTTTTTATAAATACATACTTCGAAAATGTTAAATATTCCAAAAACCATACCCAAAAATCACCCACTTTATGAATATTCCGTGTCTAAATTTATAACCGACTCCCCCTACTAACCTTGCCGACTCACTGATCTGTTTGACTCAGAGAGAGAGAGAGAGAGAGAGAGAGAGAGAGCTTCAAAGAGGTCATGATTATGTCAATGAGGAGGTCATGACTTGTGACCCATAAGCACTTCCACACCAACAAAAATCAACATGGCAGGGTCCAAAGTGCCATAAGGCCACCATTTAATTAAAACATAATTTTTAAATAAAAAAAATCGTTTCAATTGAGCGAAAATGGTTGTAATGATTGCATTGTAAAATTCCCAATGCAAGTAATTACCAGAGTATTACTTATAAGTAAATTTTATATAATTAGGAGACCCAAAAACTCAAGTCCCACGATTTAAAAAATAATAAAATATCATGGCATCCTTCTGGCCATTTCCCCTATAAATACATCCCATTTTTCCTCCAAAACAACCTTACTTAAGACCAACCTAAACCTATACTCTTGAGTTTCTTTCTTGAGGCAGTGTTCAACAAAAACATGGGAAACTGCCTAGTTTTGCAAGACAAGTTCATCAGAGTCATGAAAACAGATGGCAAAACCCTTGAATACAAAGCACCCATGAAAGTCCATCAAGTGCTGTCAGAATTTTCCGGCCATGCAATATCCGACACACTTCCCGTTGTCCACCATCTCCAGCCAGGCACCGATATGCTGGGCGGTCACACATACTATCTTCTGCCTCTTCCTGTGCCCCCTGTCAACATGAAGATGGTCAAGTTCTCGAAAGCAGCTGTAGAAGCTGTAGAAGAAACCGGAATTGTGAGGATTAAGTTGGTGATCACTAAGCAAGAGCTGGAGATGATGTTAAGAAAAGGAGGAGTTTCAGTTAATGACATGGTTTCTCAGTTCCAACAAAAACACAGCACCAATGGACTATCTAAGTTTGATGATGACAGCAAGGACTGTAAAGGGTGGAAACCTCTGCTGGAAAGCATACCTGAAGCAAACTAGCAAAAGTTTCTCTCTTCTTTTTTTTTTTCTCCCTACTTTGTATTATCCTACCGAAAGTTACCATCCAATCAGATCAAGCTAACGATCCAATTGTATCGTAACTTTCTTTGGTACAACACTGAAAAGCAGTAGATTTTGGTAGTTTAAAATACTAACCTGGCTATCAGAGGTCATGAAAGATACCGATTAGCAATACAATATCAATGAGGCCATCAAAGATTCAGAATTATGCATTTTAGTTTGTTTTCTTATATATATCTCAAAAGGCTGGAAATTGCACTGTTTGGTCTAAGCAGAAAGAAACCATTTCTTATTGTTTGCAGTTCATATCATGAAGCTAACAAAGCAGTGAATTTCTCAGTTGCAAGGAGTTCCACATCAGAAACTTTATCCTAGTTGATTCATGAAATCCTCAATGTTCCTCTGCCTGAGAACATAAGGGGCATAATCTCAAATGCATTAAGCTAAAGGAAAGTTGTGGAGAAAAGTTAAACAACAAGGTCCATAAGATAAGAGCCAACCCATAACCAAGACTAATTTTATCAAGCCATAAAGGAAATTTCCACATAAAATTCTACATGTGAGAGTGAGGACATATTTTGTCCACAATACATGTGCATAACCATATGTCTGTTCTGTACCCTTCATGGTCTGGTCTATTCCAAACTGTCCCATTCACTTTCAACTGCCAAGCTACCCTCTCCAACAGATTCGTCGATAAGCTTTCCAGGACAAAATATACAATATGAAATCTGTCTGGATTGGTGGAAAAACTTCAGCTTGAAGTGTCAGAATAATAGGCCATTATGCCAGTAGAGAGAATCCCTGCCCAAGGAGAAAGACCTAATTTCTTGGTCACAACTGGGAAAAAATAATTTGGCCTTATGTGTCGATGGATATGATTCAGTAACGTATTGCAACTTCAACTGTTGTGGTTTTCTATTGGGACCAGATCAGCTGTCACATTTTTAGGTTACAGACTTACAGTATCAAGTTAAATTATTAGGTCTGGTATTCTTGCAAAGGAAAGGATTGAGGCTACTCCTGGCCACTAGTATATCAGCTCTTCCCTTTGGAGAAAGAACAAAATTTAAGTCTCGGTAGGGAGGTAGTGGTGGGGAAAATCTATTCTATAGGGGAGGCAAGTGTTACAAGAGAAAGAACAAAATTTAAGTCTCTGGTAGGTAGGTAGTGGTGGGGAAAATCTATTCTATAGGGGAGGCAAGTGTCACAACAGAAACAAGAAGAAAATAATCAAAAGGAAACAGAAGGGACTTAACAGATGCAAAGAAAGCAACAAGGAAACATAGATGAGATCGACCCTTAGGCCATTAAAAGTTATGAAAAACAATGACCAGACTACAAAAGAAATGATAGCTGCCACAAAAAAGAGAACAACACAGAAGCACAGTTGAACTACTAAAGTCAGAAGTCACCTGCCATCAATGATGATAAAAATTTGGGGCAACAACATTATTCATTTCGGGGTTCTCTATCATGCTAAAATGCTTTCTCAGATCACAGATAAGGATGAAAACTAGCACATGGTATTAATTTTTATCATCTTTTTTACGTATGTAATAATTATGATATTGGTGGTGCACTTCTGGTGTTATTGCTTACATCATTATGACAAAAATTAATGTCCCTACACTCATGATGCATTGTGAAAGAGTGGGATGACTTATTCAAACAAGAACAACTACAATATAAAAATAACAATCAAGAAACACATTTTCAGTATGTCATCAAATGTAAACCTTTGATACACTTCTCCTGCATACCTTAATCTGAATTTAGCCCATACATCTTCAGTAAAAGCTATTTTATGGCCAAAATAGAAGCAAACTTCAATGGATACATGGTTTACTCAACTTCTCCAGAGGGCTTCTTTTAGCACCATATCCTCCCTTAATTTCATGATATGCACGTCTTTCATTGCAACATCAATACACAATCCTTTGACCTTTCCTTGGTCCTCATGATTTTCAGGATTCATGTTCATGAGTACACTAGTTGTAAAAATTGCAGAAAATATTGCAAAACCAAGTCAAGTGAAAGGCCTCTCCGCCAATCATAGCTAAAATTCATTCTCACCGTTAAAAAGACCAATCACAGGTGCATAATTGAATTGCACAAACATGTTTCACATTTATGATAAAAATGTTTCGAGTTTTTATATTTTATGAAAAAGGGTTAATGATACACTATCCTATAATTTTTCCAAAATCCATTTTATAACCCAAAGAATAACCAAAGCAATTTCAGTTTAGATTTTTGAAATTGGTTTTTACTTTGCTCCTTCAAGCAATTGGCCTAATAATATTAAACATACCTCAAATTTCCACGCACCATTCTTATAGAAATCGATGGAATTGGCAACACGTCACCAATAAAACAATAAAACTCTCACTAGCTCAAGTAGTTCAAGGTCCTCTTTTTTTTCTCATTGTGTGTAGTTCAAGGTCCTCAACTCACCTACATATCCGGTTTTCAAAGAATTCGATTTGCAAAGTTGGGTAGAAGTTGAAGGCAAAACTTTGAGGATACAGAACCACCATAAAGTCAAATACATAAACTAGAAACAGAAACTTAAGGAGATGCTTGCTGAATATGGTAAGATCCACTGATAGTATATTTTATATTTCCTTCGTCTATTTGCAATTTAATAGAAAATATGACCAAGAATACATTGAAGGAATAGTATTATATAACCAACCCCAGATAGTTGAGACACTGGTTTGTTGTGTCAAGTATATTTGATGCGTATGATGGTTACTAAAAAAAAGTTGATATAAATTGATTCCATTTTGCATTTTGGTAATGCTATGCAGCTTTCCCTATAAAAAACTGTTTTGTGTCATAGGCTGATGGTAGAATGAAGTACTTTTCTTTCAATGGAAAGAACATGGCATGCTTACAGCGAATCACGAAATACCAATAACATTGACAATATTGGTGTCTTTTCTTCTTTCCCTTTCTTTAGGTTTTCTTTCTGTAAATCAACTTAATCAAGAGTTACTTGCCTAGATGACTATATGGATTTTTTTTTTTAATCAGCATTTACAAAAGGAGGAGACAACGAGGTTTGAACTTGCGAATAAGCCAACCACTGAATCCTTGACTCTATGGATCAAAATGGAAATTCTTCCATCAGGAATAGAATTCAACCCCATTTGTGGAGACATATAAATTAGTGCATAGTCAATTCTTTCATGTAGTTGTTAAGAATAAGTAAGAGAGATCACTATTCAAAACAAGATACAACTTACATTCATTAAATCATCACTGTTAATCCAGACTTCAAATGAAATACCTAACCATCTGGACTTCTTTTTGCTTGAAACCACACTTCTCGTAAAATTCCCTGTTTTCAACGCTACAATCAAGGATCACCTTGTAACAACCCATTGAACGAGCATGATCAGAGAGGAACCCAATGATTTTCTTTCCCAATTGCATCCCTCGAGCATTGGAATGGACCACAACATCTTCAATGTGACCTACTTTCCCACAATTCCTTATGAACTTCTTTTCAATAAACACGCTCCCAGTCGCTATGATCTTCCCAGTACGATGGTCTTCGATTACGCATATAAGATGATCATCGGCATATGAACTAAGCTCTTCGAATCGAGCTTGGAATTTCTTGTCACATATATCGCCGCAGAGAGTGAGTTGTTGCAGTAATTCAATAAAACCTTTGCTTTTATCTGTGATCTCTAATCTTCGAACTCGAAATGTTTCTTCTTCTTGAGCAGATGAGTTACTATTGTGCATCTTTTTCGGTGAAACTTCACAGATCTTTTATCAAAATCTCTGGAGAGAGAGAAACAATTTTGAGGAAAACAATAAATGAAGCTTTTATCGCCCCAAAGGGGGATCGATATTCGAGATGCAGTTCTTCTGTTCGATAAAATGGCTAAGAGGGTTGTTGATGCTTGCCTGTAAATTGTAATGCGGTTGTGATCTGCGAAGGTTTACCTAGACGTTAAAAAGTTGCTGCCATAGGTACATAGTTTACAGTCGGTTCGCTTAACGGCCGAGAAATTGTGACCATTTAACACTGAGACATTGTGAGCTATAAGCACCGAATATTTCTCTGAAATATGAATGGTATGAAATGCAAAGTTTCATTTAGGCCTCACCAAAAAGCCTAAAGTCTAATAGCTTTCACTGACCCGTTAAGAAGCCGTTAACCTGCCCATTAGCCCAATAAGATAATTAAATTATATTTTATAATTGTATTATTTATTTGATATTTGATCTATAACTTTTAGAAGATTGAGACTTGAAAATGATTGACAATTGTATAGGTGTCAACTTAATTGGGATGTACTCAATTTGTAATGATGCAAAATAGTCGCACTTATCAATCAATTTATATTGTAACATTGTAACTCTATATGCATATTTGTTAAATTCAATCAATATAAATAATTTTTTTGTTAATTTATTTTTTTATACCAACTTCTTGTAATTGATGTCTTTTTGTGTTTTTTATATAAATAATAAATTTTTCGATATCTTATTGTATTTTTTTACATAGAAAGTAACTTTTTGTGAAAATTGTGGCTAAATCCTCCTATATAGACTTATAATGACTTGAGTCCGGCAAGAAAATTTATTTGGGAATAAATCCGTTTTTAATTTTATTTGTAATATACTTAAATCCACGTTTTTTTTAATTTCAAAAATACTCATAACGGTGTTTGTTTTGCTCAGTTATGGAAAGCCACATAGGTTAATTTATTAAGATATATATGAAAACCATTGATTGAATATTTCGATGCTTGATTTACGACGAAATTGTTGGTCTGTTAATTCAAATTCAGATAAGAAGATTCCCTTAATAATTCAAATTCTTAATCAATTTTTGGTCTATTATACATTTGAATAACAGGCTTTTGTGTTTGGTGGGGGGTTTTGAAGGTGATAGAACTAATAATTGGAGTTCGAAATTGTTTGTAATTCAAGTTCGACTTACTGGTTATTGGAGTTCAGGCTGTTCTTAATTTCGTGGGCTGGAACAATCTGATCTATTGAGGTATTCATTGTAAGTAGTTGTTTTATCTACTACGAATAACAGTGTTATTTTTGCCATTGCCAGAATTTGAATGCCACTTACTGAAAATTCAATGTTACTTACCGAAATTCTTATTGCGACGTACTTTACCATAATTCATTTTTTTTTTTTTGAAATTAGGTTCTGTTTTTATTTTTCATGTTACTATTCATGCTTTATTGGAAATAGAATTGATTGTTTTCGTTTTTCAATATTTTTTTCTTTATATTTGTTCTCTTAGTTGTAACAGATGGATGATCATATATTGGTTTGTTACAAGTATTCCTCTGAGACTATTGTGATTAGAATTTCAATGAATTCCATTATTGATAATGTGTTATATGGTGTTTGTGACAATTGGAATAGGTTGAGTTCCAATTGTGTGTCTACGTTATTCTTGGACATTTGCATTGCTCTTCTCAAAATGATCATGATGTGAGAACACATGTTTTTAATTGCACAGTTTGTTCAACTGAGTTTTGTTGATGTTATAGTTGTTGTAAAAAAGGAATGAGGTTCGTGATTTTGAAGGTGGGGAAGTTGTGCAATGTTTTGAATTATTTGTTAATACTTTTGGTCGCGAGGATGATATTCTCCCTCGTTTTTGTTCTCACAATGAGAATGTTTTGTTGACTGATGGATGGTCCAATGGAATAGTAATGGTTGGTCAGAAATTTGAGGGAGGAGTAACTGATTTTCATAATTCTTTATGCAAATACGCAATCGAGGTTAGTTTCCAGTTTAATTATGTAAAGAATGAAAAAACAAGGGTAAAGGCTGAATATTTTTGAAATATTCTGTTGAATGTGAGTGGTTTGTTGTTGTTACACTCTAAAAGATAAGTGAGTGATTTTACATTAAGAAGTTAATCAATGAGCACACATGTGGTGTGGCTGCACATACGACAAAGAACAAAAGATTGACTTATAACTTGGTTAAATGACTTATTGTTGACAATGTGCGGCAAAAACCTGATACACAACCAGTTGATGTGAAAAGTATGTTTCATTCAGATTATGGTTTGATCATATCGTATGACCAAGCTTGGATGAGTGTCAAAAAAAGTAAGGGGTATACTTTTCGGGGATCATTCATTGTCATACCAAAAATTACTGCGATATGTACATGCTGCTAATGAAAGCAATTCAGATAATCATTTTGTGTTGGAAGGTGACTTGGACACACAGCGTTTTATTAGATTTTTCATGTCATTTAAGGCATGTATACATGGATTTAAGTATTGATAACCCATATTGTTTATTGATGGTACATTTTTAAAGGATAGGTGTAAAGGTATTATTTTGTCTATGACTGCCAAAGATGAAAACCAAGGTGATTTTTTGGTTTAATGTGGTGTTACTGATTTTATTTTACTGTTACCCTTTATAATTGCTTGAATGTTACTAATTCAATGTTATTGTTTATGTTGTATGTATTACAGGTTTGTTTCCCTTAACTTTTGCTACTGTTGATTCGGAGAATAAGTGTAACTAGCGTTGATTTTTTCAATAATTAGCTGAGATTGTTGATAATAATAGAGACATTATCATTATGTCTGATCGCAATGTTGGCTTGATGGAAGCAATGTCAAAAGTGTTCCTAATAGTACACCATTTGTTCTACCTACAACATTTAAAAGCAAATTTGAGAGATAAGTACAATGGGGTCGCTTTACCCATGTGTTTCGCGAACATACGATTTTCTTGTTTACAATGTGTGTTTATGCTCCAACAGAAACATTTTTCAATGAGAAGCGTGATGCATTTCGGCGTGAATGAGAGAGCTGTTGTTGATAGGTTCTTGGAAAACCTTACATTTGAGAAATGGGCAAATGCATTTTTCAAGGAAAACTGTATGGGGAGATGTCTTCAAATGTGGTCGAGTCATTCAACGCTTGAATCACAAAGTCATATCACCCACATGTCATAATCATGATTGACACAATAAGGGGGTAGATTATGAACCAAATAGGCTTCCGGTTGAATACATTGTCACAGTGGAACGACATTAATTATCTAATTATTGAAACCAAACTTCTAGCTGCTTTCACCAAGTGTCGTTTCTGGTTTGTTAGGGGGCTTAAGGATGGACATGGATCAGCCTTCCCCGTATTTCAAGTTGCACTAAGGTCTCTCGAGTCAGGTTTCTTAAAGTACAGTCTATATAAAGACACCGTTAAAGTAACTCCCCTAACGAACAACTAAGTCAAGACTGGTGCGCCTCTCTGCCTTACTCAAATAGGGGGAGCGGCACATTATGCGAAAACTGTTATGGCGCTGAATGCTCTTATTCAATTTTACGAGATCTATGCCAATTTCATAGAGCTAGTCTTTGACTAATAATACAAATAAGACATATATTCGGTGCCCAGTGTGTTGTCAAGTCATGTTTTTTAGGTTAATTCACATCCTTCCGTGACGCTTGATATTGAGAGATGCACGTGCTTATGCCACCAATGGCAGGTCAATGGTTTACATTGTCCCCATGATGTGGTTGCAATTCAAAAGAGTGGAAGGAACATCAATAAGTTTGTTGATTACGTTTAGCAGGTTACTACTAATCGACTGTGTTATTCTGAACCTATACACCCTATTCCAAAACTCGGTTATGTTGACTTTTCAACGGATAATGTTTATATGTTGCCAGTATTTGTCAAAAAAAAAAACAATCAGGCTTTCCAAGGAAGCGTAAATTTAGTATTTAGTTTTGGAATAAGATGTTGCTTTTTATTTAGTTTTTGAGTTTGACATGATACACATTGGAAATATCATGGGTTGTCCAGTGTGATAAGTTAATAATGTAGTATTCTTCGCGCATGGACAAGATATAATCCATGCTACTGTTAATGTGACCATATGTGTTACTAATAATGTTACTGCCAATGTTACTAATTAATAATCATTAGAGATAGTAACCAATCGTGCAACAATATTACAAACTCACTTGAAAAAGAAAAATTAAAACGGATTTTATGTGATTCCCTAATTATGAACAAATTTAAACTACGTTACTACTCATGTTACTTTTTTAGGTAGACAATCAAGACAGAGTTTCATCTATTTTTCAAACAAATATATACAAATAATGCCCAAGCATGCGTATAACAACATATCACTTCCACATACAACACCATTTCAGCATTCTAAAATCAAATGGTTCAATAAGTTGAAACATATTTGAGCATGTTACTATTTGACTTATAATGTGGATAACGTTTCTTTTGTTCTCCAAACATTCCATTACAAACAAATACCCAACCCTACATCAACATATCAATTTAATATCAAGATGTAACACCAAATCACAATTCTAAAGGTTTGAATATACCATTTTAACCAATTATCAATCATCAAACAATTACAACCAATTTTTAACCCACCCTTCAAATAGCTAAAAAATGAATAGCTTTACAACATCACCAATTCTTATTTTTTTGGTATTTTTTTTTCAATCTTGATCTTGTCTTGTAGTCTTCAACAGTTCATATATTCTTATGGATTATGAATATAAACATCATATCTATCCGTAGAGCGGTAAGTTGGGGTGGCTTTAATTTCTCTTCTATTTCCTGTCTACAAGCAAGTTGCTACACTAAGTAACACACATACAATCCACAGTTGACCATGCATTCATGTAATTTGTTAATGATATCTAATATAATTTACTTAAAGGTATACTATTTTATTATTTACGTACTTGTCTTCTCTTTGTTGAG